TTTAAAATTCTAATCTCTTATTTACTTCATCAAAAAAATCTTTTCATTTCTTATCTTATTTATCTGTCGATTCACCACAATGAACTTGAATGTCACACCATTAATGCCTTGATCATCATCATCATCATCATCATATTCTATTTCATAAATGAACAATCCGAATATTTATCGTGTCATAAAGATGAAAAAGAAAATCGGTAATGAACATAAAGAGAAAAAAACTTAAGATAAGAGTTCATTTGAAATGAATTTCATTATTATTAATTATTATTTTAAAAATATAGTATAACACGTAATGAATTAACTATTGAACATTGATCATAACACGTTCAAATTTCAATTATATAAATTCTGTTTAATTTAAATAGATTTGTAGATATTGTTGAATGTCAGCCAATAAATGGGTAAGGTTGCGCAAATATCATGCATGCATTGATTGAAGTTCCCACGTGAAACCAATGAACGAGTAATCGAGACAGTTCATAACTCTGTTCAACTGTAAATAACTTTATAGACTGATGTTAATATTTTAGTCTGGCTATTGATAGCTTTATTTCAATCTACCTAAATTCACATAATAAAACATTGTCCATCAGAGTAGGAGTTGGTTAGGATTGCGTAACACATGTCCTAACCTGTTTAGATTTAATAACTCGTCCACTGGTTTGGTATCCTTACCTAGTATCCTATTCCCCAAATGATTTCGATAGTGCTCACTGAATGATCTTAAAATTCACTAGTAATACTTCAAAGATATCAATGATCCAATACTAGTAACTTACAAATTTACTTTATTCTTAATGATCATGTTGACAGAGCATAAAATCAGTCAGTTTAATTGCAATACAAACTCATATTTAACCGATCTCAGATTCAAAGAACATATTTTCTAACTAAACTAACTAAAATTGATCATGATTGATGACCTTAAAAGAAGAAAAGTGTTTTTATTTTAGTTCAAATCAAAAATACACAGATCAATCATATACAAAATGTACTTTTAGTAATTATTAGCTTAATGCAATGAGTACCTCAGTTAAAAAAAAAACATGAATCATTGTTAGACCACCATTAGAAGAAACATGGAAACACTAAACAGCCATTTCGTCCTACAATGAGACTCATCAACAGTGCGTGTCCACTCAATTCTTGTGAGTGACGGGAGGCACGGATGAGCACTACCACTGATGAGCCCCGTATCAGGACGAAATGGTCTTTTCGTGCTTCCAGATATCTAATAGTGGTCTAACCATGATTGTTTCATAACTTCAATAATGAACAACAATCTCCACATATCTCTATAATGAAAAATCTTTTCATTCATAGTTAGTACTGAAATCGATTGGTCTCATTTGGCAAAGGTACACATTGAGAGAGAGGAGTACCTTGATTTTGCTAATGTATTAAAAGCTATAATGAACAGATATGGATGGATGGCTAGCAGTAGAATCCAGGGCACTCTATTCGGTCTTATTTGGGACTCGTCGACTGGATACAAATTTACACTCAGTCAATTAAAAATGAAACCATTACATTGAACACTCTATTTGCACACCATCTTTGAGTCCTGACTTCCAACGCTCCATCCTTCTTTCATTCCTGTTGTTGCTTCCTTTCCTTCCTGTTGGTACTCCATTCATTTCTTGCTTTTGCTCCATTTGCTTTCCGTTTTCCTCTTCTGACCATGAAACTTCTTTGACGTCCCTTCTTATACTACTTATATCGTTCGTATAAGTAGCACACACCACACAACTACTAGTCAATATCAATATCACTACAAAGTAGATTTTCTAATATGAAGTTAAGCTTGTCCTTGATTTAATTAAAAATTCTAATTTCACGGGTGTGTCTAGTTTTTTCATCAATTCATGTGTTTTCAGGTAAATTTTACATTCAATATATAGAAAGAAAAGATCAAAGAAAGCACATAACTCCAAATATGTTTACTTTCATATTTTTGTTTGTCAAGTTAAACAACTGAAAAGTTCATTGAAAAATTAAAAACGTAAGCATTTTTAAAATATGAAAAAGAACATTTTATGATTCATTTAAAACTATGTTGTACTAATGAGATTAGATTTTTGGCTGAAATGAAATTCAAGGGTAGCTTTTAGTGATATAATTTGTGAATTAAAAACAGTATTTAGAGAAATTTCAGGGTAAACTTGGTTTCTTATTGAAATCATGAATTAATTGATTATTGTTAGACCGCCATTAGAAATAACGTGGAAGCACTGAGAAGCCGTTTCGCCCTGCAATGGGACTCATCAGAGGCAGTGCGCATCCATGACTCCTGCCCACGGAAAACAAACCTAGGACCTTCGATTCTGCCCATGATCATCTGACCTGTAGATAGCTGAGCTGACTTCCAACGGTGTTTATGTCTAACAATGATTAATCTAAGGTTTTCGTGGAACCTCATCAACTGTATTCGGTGGTTACTGCCTACATCCAGCTGGGTTGATCTTCATTAGTCAGATCTTCTCACTAGAACTCGGAGAATTTCACTATAAAGTTATGGAGATTGTTGTTTGTTACTGAAATCATGAATGAATCATTGTTAGACTACCTTTAGTCAAAACCTGATAGCCATTTCGTCCTGTTATGAGACTCATCAGTAGTGTGCATCTACGACTCCTGCTACTTGCAGAATTCGAACAAGGACCTTCGGTCTTGCGCGAGAACGGCTAACTTCTAGAACAGTGTTAATGTCTTACTCTGATCAATCTAGGGGTATTTTGCACGACTTCATCCATTTATTTTCGGCAGATAACTGCCTACACTCTACATGGTTGAACTCCACTGATCACGTCTTGTAGGAGATTTAAACAACCCGTAGAAATGTGCCTTTTGCTGAGTTTATCATACTTTTATTTATTGAGACAGTAGTGATGATTATCGTGGTTAAGTTTCCAATTCCTACGACTCTCAATGGCATGTAATAGACTGTTCCGTTATGGAAATTTTTAGATAACTTTATTATTTGACTGTCAAACTATACCTAACTGTGTAACTGATTGTATTGATCATGAGTTTTTAAAAATTTCTATATGCATAATCCTGTTTCTCACTAGTACACTACCATTCATTAGTTGATTGAAGTAGTATATTTCCTCTAGATCAACCAATCTGATTATATCACTAAATGTGGATGTTGGGGATGTTACATCCCCAGAACTCGCTTGATAAATGCCTTATCTTGAATTTGTTGTTTCGGAGCATAGGCTGATCAGTCGACCTTGAGATTTCATTTCCTACCAGGAAAATCCATTGCCGTGATTGGCTGCTGTGTATTTTAGTGTGTTATTTTTGTGACTGTCCTAAGGACGTTTCTATGATGTATAAATAAATGAGAGTTGTGTGCTTGGTTGTATTGTGATTGCTGGGTGTTGTAGAATATACTTTCTACGCTTATCAAGACTTCTGTCTTACAGTATTGGATTCAAGGTAGCCTACCTGTTGGCTGGTAATTGTCTCGTTCGCGTTTATCGACTAAGGTGAACTCGTAATAGCTTCAAGTGTACCTTGTGACGAACGTAACGGTGGATAAAACTGAATTACTGAAAAGATTACTATGTTATCTCCCTATTATTCTATGAATTACCAATATTCTGCGTTTACTCAGTAATTCGATTATTTTCATTAGAAATTTGTAAACATTGTTGAGTTTCATTAAAATCTGAGTATAAGACTCATCAGCAGTGCGTATCCATGATCCTCGCTCGCTGGAATCGAACCAAGAACTTGATTGTGCTGAACAAAGCATGACATTACAACAGAAATGTCTAAACTTTTTTAAAGAAAAAATAGTTTCAAGATTAAAATAAAGGCGAATATTTGTAGTTCAAAAAAAGGTCTATAACCTTCTTGAACTCTTCTTATCTGATTCAAGATAACCAATCAATTCAAGGTTGTGTGTTGGTTAACACACAATTCATTCTGTGCAGCAAGTTCTTGAAGCTTATTCCCTAATAATAAACTCATCAGAACTCAAATAATAATAGACTAGATTCTAAGAAGTTCAAAATATAAAATCTAGCACATCAGTAGTATATTTTCATCTTAACTCTTCAGCAATGCGCATCCGCGACTCTCGCTTACGGAAATCCAACCCAAGATCTTCGGCTTCATGCGTGAATGCTTAACCTCAGAACTGATGAGTTTCAAACCGGCCGAGTGTGAAGCAGTACTCACCAAAGACAATCGATGAAGTTGCCCAGGACAGTGGACTGACTGAAATTAGAAATTAACACCTTAGGAAACCGGCGCAAAGGTTTTCAGGTTCAGTGTTAGCGCTCACGACCGAAAGTCTTGGCTTTGATTCTTGTAGGCAGGAGTCGTGTATGCTCACTGTTGATGAGTCCCATACCAGGACAAAATAGCCTTCCAGTGCTTACAGGTGTCTAACGGTGGTCTAACTATGATCTTATCGAAATACTACTCATAAACAACTGCATGAATTTTTTTCAATAGTATTCAAAACTACTATATCAATTAATCAATAGAAATAATAAATACATCCTACACTAAAAATATTTTCACGTAATATTCACATCTATTTACTTATTTATTAAAATTTACAAATATTCTAAGTCATTTTCAACTTGCCCTCGAAAATACAATATCCATGTTTTATTCATTTATTCATCCATACATTCTGTTCAACTGATTCCGTTCAATTGTCAATACTGACAACAACAAAAAAAAACTAGTATTCAACTAATTTATTTTATTGAACTGTTAAGAAAGAGAGAGGGAGAGAGAGAGAGTAGTAGCGGTAGTAGTAGTAGTAATAGTAATTTGATGGGATACAATTTGTTTTAATGTGTAACCTGTATAAGTTTTTGAAAATATTTTTGATAGATTTAATACTGTTGTATTTACTATGATGTCATACAATGTAATGTGAACAAAACTGTATTTGGCGAAATCCAGTACATAAATATGCGTGTATATATATATATATATATATATATATATATATATATATATATATATGCCGATAATTCACTATTGTGACTGTCATTTCAAAACGCATCCACAATCATTGATAACAATTGTGTTACTGAATAATTATGTTACTTAATAGTAATAATAATAACTTACAATGGTACAATTTATTAGTGCGCTTCATTCAAATTGGATTATTAATAACACATGTCAAGTGAGTTTAAGAATATTTATTATTACTCAGTGCAAAGATGTCTGTTGATTTGCTTAGATTTTTTCTGCTGATCTATTCACTTTTCTTCAGGCATGATAATATTTTGAAATGGGATTAATTGAGTTTGAATCAAGAAATTGATCAATGTTCATTCAAGTTTTGTGAGCAGCTAGTTTCAAGTATCTGGTTCTTCTATCCCGCACGTAACAACAAATGCAAGAGAAGATGACCAGTGTGATAGCAGCTTCAGAAGCATAAGCAGGTTTGAACATACATAAAGGGAAATGCAAGATTCTACGATACAACACAACACATGCGCCAACAAAATCATAATTGATGGACAGATAAGCTTAGGAGGAAGATGTAAAAATTTTTACATATCTGGGCAGCATCATTGATAAACAAGGTCGATCTGATCCAGATGTGAAGGTGCGGATCGCTAAAGTAGAGACAGCATTTTTACAAAACAACTATCAACCAACACCAAGATCAGAATTTCCAATGCAGATGTCAAGACGGCTTTACTGTATGGGGCGGAAACTTAGAGAACAACCAAAGCGATCATCCAGAAGGCACAAATATTTATTGACAGTTGTCTACGTAAAATACTTCGGGTTCTTTGGCCAAACATCACCGGTAACAGCCTATTGTGGGAGAGAACAAACCAGATTCCAGTGAAGGGAGAAATCAGGAGGAAGCAATGGAAGTGGATAGGACACATATTGGGGAAAGCACTAAACTGCATGACACGACAAGCCCTCTCTTGGAATCCTCAAGGTCAAAGGAAAAGAGGAATGAAAAGCAATTCATTAGAACTGGGAAGGAATGCACACGATAGTATAGGTTGGAGAATGTTGGTGGGCTGCTTATGTTGCAGTGAGGATAACAGGCAAAAGTAAGTAAGTAAGTAAGTGGCTTTAAGTAAATTCAGTGCTCACTGAACAACATCTATAATACTTGGTGCTGATAAAATTTTATCCGTTAGGTCAACTTGTAACAATCGGTATTAGTAACAAGAACATTGAAACATCTCACTCATAGTGGTAGTATGTTAGGCTGTGAACCTAGGTGAGCTGGTTGTAGAACTCCATGAGGGAGTATTACGTCTTTTTATAATGTAGGTTCACTTGGATAACCGGTATCAACTAACATAAAATAAAGTTTTAGGGTTTGCTTCAGACTACTGTGAAATACCTAACAGTTTTAACTGTATTTTCAATCGTTATACTTACTTACTTACTTACGCCTGTTACCCCCAATCGAGCATAGACCGCCCACCAGTTTTCTCCAACCAACTCTGTCCTGAGCTTCCCTTTCTAGTCCTTTCCAGTTTTTGTTCATTCTTCTCATGTACGTCTCCATTTCTCGGCGTAATTTGTCCCTTGGCCTTCCTCTTCTCCTTCGACCTTGACCGTTACAGGTGCTTTTCGTAGTGTGTGTTCTATCCACTTCCATCGCTTCTTCGTGATTTCCTCATTCACTGGAATCTGGTTTGTTCTCTCCCACAGTAAGTTGTTGCTGATGGTGTCTGGCCAACGAATCCGAAGTATTTTGCGAGGACAACTGTTAATCTTCTGGATGATAGCTTTCGTAGTTCTCCAAGTTTCCACTCCATACAGTAGAACTGTCTTGACATTTGTATTGAAAATCCTGATTTTGGTTTTGGTTGAAAGTTGTTTGGAGTTCCAGATGTTTTTCAACTGTAGAAATGCAGCCCTTGCTTCGCCAATCCGCGCCCTCACATCTGCATCGGGTCCACCTTTCTCGTCGATGATGCTGCCCAGATATGTAAAGGTGTTAACGTCCTCCTTCAATAGTTATGATTAGTAATTAATGTGTTACTGTCTAAACAAAATCACTTAGTCCAATTCAGTTGATCAAGTTGTATTATAATGATTTATTTAAGTGGCTGAATATTACAGTAATTTAAAATTACAATTTTCTTCTAAATATATGACTTCTTCAGGATTACTTACATACCTGCGATTGCCTGTTACTACTAGTGAAGTGAGTATTAGGCCGACGACCAGAATTCTCTAGCCTACTCTGTCCTGCGCATTCTTATCCAGCTCTATCCAATTACTATTCATTGTCCTCATGTTTTTCACTATTTCTCGTCGTATTGCATTTCTTAGCCTTCCTCGTTTCCTTTACCCTTGAGAGTTCCAAGTGAGGGCTTGTCTTGTGACGTAGTTGTGTGTTTTCCTCAATGTGTGTCCAACGACAACTGCCTCCAACTAGCTAAACTCAAAAAATCACTCTTTATTGATAGATAGATAACATATTCTAATTGATAATATGTTATATTTCGTTAAATATCGCATTTCACAGTTAAAATAATCATTTAATCTTAAGTTGATGAAAAGAATTATAGATTTTATCGACTGATGAAATTCCATGATAAAGTAACTTTCGACGTAGGAGTCATTTTTTGCGTCGATGGTTCGGCTGTAGAATGCTCGCATGCAATGAGGGCTGTCTGGGTATTTTAACTTCTCCTGGAAACCCATCTGTGGCTACTGCCTATCCTAAACCCTGATAAAGGAAGAGATTCGGGAATGGGGCTAACGACACCATTCCGTAGATAACTAACTTGCTAAACAGACGCTAACAAGGAAGTAGTAGTTAGTGAATACCTCAAAGAAATCTCAGCATCCATTGACATCAAGTTGTAACTGTTTCATTTCCAAAATAATCGAATACAGTTATTTGGGACATTTTTCTAAGTAACATGATACGATGACGATAAAAATTGTTCAGTATACTTTAATTTCTGTTAGCTTTTTAGCTATAGTTAGTTCATGAGGTGAAATTATTTTCAAACTTAGCAAGGATTGTCATTATAGAGTTTTGAAGATGGATGAGTTTCATTGAAATTATGAATTGACCACCTTCGGAAACCCCAAAGCCTCTAGATGGTTCTTTCATTCTTGTATGGAACTTATCAGGAGGGCACGTCCATTACCCTGCAAGTAGGAATCTGAATTAGGACCTTCAGTCTTACGCATGAATGCTTAATCTGTAGATCGCTTATAGACGGACATTCATTTATCATTTGCACACTAGCGACTAAATTCGTAAAGAAATTCTAGGCGTTCTAATGAGAAGCCATGATTAGTGGGGTTGAACCGTGTTGGATAAGAGGCAGTTCCGCATAACATACAATAAGTTTGGCCGGGCATTATCTTATATTGACTGAATTCAGATATTAATAAGTTGTTACACATTTGAAATCATCAATCAATCATTGTTAGACCACCATTAGAAACCTTGAAGCACAGTACGGCTGTTTCGTCCTGGTCTGGGACTCATCAGCAGTGTGCATCCGCGACTACTGCATCTCGCAGGATTTGAACCAGGGATCTTCGGTGCTGGATCACTGGGCCGATATCCAACGGTGTCGATGTCTAACTCTGATTGACCTAGGGATTTTGAGCGACCTCACCCACTTGTCTTCAGTAGTTACTGCCTACACTACAAGTTAGATATTGGCTCAATATGTAACAATTAAAACGTTCGTTTGTGAGACTGAAGGTTCTAATTGTAACTCTCGCTTTTGTGGTCGTAGATGAGAACTGTTAATGATTCTGACATAAGGACGAAGGAACAATCTGCGTTCAATAAAAATAAACGATTTTTCGGAATGTTTTTTACGTGATCAAATTTATATTATCACCTTAATTGAAGAGTTTTTAATCTTTAAACGTGATCTTCTAATCTTATGAATCACCCCACAACTATGGCCATAAGTTTAAAACGTTTTTTTAAAGTGTGGTGATTTTTAATTTTCCAGTGAAAATAGATATAATCTATGTAGTTTACTGGTATTCGTCAACCGTATATGCTTACAGCCTTAGAGTAAAAAATATTAATTCAAAACTGAGCTAATCTATCTGACATAATCATAGTTATTTCAAAAAAACGGATCAACAATGTACTTGATGTATATTTTTTTACGATATCGATCATGTTTCGAACAGTCGATGTAATGTAGGATCCACTGTTGACAATTCACTTATTACTTATGCTTGTTATCTCTCATGTCGTATAGGTAGCTGACTAGAAATCTACAACAACCAACCAACTATTTCCTTCACTCTTCTTCATAGTTCTTCACATTTGCTGTTCATTATTTTCGTGTCTGTCTCCAATTTTCGGAGCAGTATGTTCATCGATCTATCTCTCTTTTACTTTGGTCTTGGAGGTTCCAAGTTAGGGCCTGTCTCGTGATGATTTTCATAATGTGTGTCCTATTAGCGTCCACCTTGTTGTCCCGATCTCCACCTCAGCTGGATTATGGTTTGTTCTCTCTCACATAAAGCTGTTGCAGATGTTGTCTTGCCAATGGATCCGCAGTTTCCTACATAGACTATTAATAAATACCTATATCCTCTAGATGATTACTTTTGTATTACGGGGTTGTGAAGATTGTTAAGTTACACATTTTTGAAACCATGAATCGATGAATGTTAGACCACCATTTGAAGAAACCTGGAAGCACTGGAAGACAGCCGTTTCTTCCTGGTATGGTACTCATCAGCGGCAGTGCGCATCCACTACTCCTGCACCCCGTAGGATTCGAACCCATGACCCTTACCATCAGACCACTGAGTCGGTATCTAACGGTGTTAATGTTTAACTTGATCAATTCACGGAGTTGCGCAACCTCATACACAGTCTTCGGTAGTTACTGTCTACACCCGAACAGGTTGAACTTCAGTGGTCACGTCTTCCCACTAGAACTGGAAAAGAAGATTCCTCACGAAGCTAGTCACTAGTGAGCACAGGTAATTTACATTACGGGGTTGTGAAGATTGTTAAGCTAAACACTTCTGTAGTTTTCCAAGTTTACTCTCCACACAACAGAACAACTATCTCTTAATGTTCATGTCGAAAATTCTAACTTTGGTGTTTGTCGATAGTTGCTTTGATTTGTTCTTCAATCGTAGAAATACTTCCCTTGCTCTGCCGATCTGCGCCTTCACATCTGCATCAGATCCAGCTTGTTTCTCGATTATGCTGACAAGGTTCAAATCTCCGTTTTACTGATATCCAAAAGAGAGTACACACTAACACACTCTATGATTCGTTTATATCAGTTAAACAAACTTTTTGATTGAAAAATGAAAAGTGACATATTGTAACCATTTATAATGTATTAAGCTTAAAATAATTGTGATTTTTATACAGTCATTTTGAGCCATCCTTTAATTATGCAACAATAACTTTATGATTTTTGAAACCTCTTTTTAGAGTAGTCTAATTTTAAATCTCTCCTTTCATGAAAAAGCCTTCTTAACCTTGAGTAAATAAAGTTTCAGTCGAAACGAGTAAAAATGACGTTTATTCATTCCTAGTATTTCAATTGATTGGTTACTTAAAAGTATTCCTTAGAAGGGCTTTAGAATAAGATTTTTTTGTTTGAGAAAAATCGTCAGCAAAATGTTTCTTTAGTCTTGAAGACATCACTGTGCGAGAGAACAGACCAGCCTTGTCCAGCTGAGGAAGAAATTAAGAAGAAGCGTTTTGATGTGGATAGGACACACATTGAAGAAAGCACCCAACTGTATCATGAGACAAGCTCTCACTAGGGATCCTCAAGGACAAAGGAGAAGAAGAAGAAGACCAGAGAAGAATTTAAGCCACAAATGAGAGATAGACATGAGAAGAATGAACTGAAAAGGAAGGTCCAGTGACCAGCATTTTCCAACCTACTCTGTCCTGTGCTTTCCTTTCTATTTCTATCCAACGGCTCTTCATTCTTTTCATGTCTGTCTCCATTTCTCAGCAATTTATGTTTTTTCTTCTTCATAATACTTATGACATTTCCAGTTTATCTTGTTCTCTAATCATTATGAACTCTGATAGAACTCACTACTTCACCAAGTTAATCTAGTAACATAAGTTACTTTCAGGATTCAAACTGAAGACCTTCGGCCTTGCGCACGAAAGCTTAACCTATGGACCTGTGAGTAACAGGAGTCGTGAATGCGTAATACCACTGATGAGCCCAGTACACTAGAACGAAACGTCCGTCTTTCAGCGCTTCCACATTTCCTCTAATGCTGGTCTAACAATGATTTATTCATGATTTCAGCGTGTAAAAACAACAATCTCCAGTGGAGTTCATATTTGTTCGGGTGTGAAGCAGTGCTCAACAAAGACAGTGGATTAGATTGTGCAAGACTGTGAATTGATCGAAGTTAGACATCAACACCGTTAGATTATAGCTCAATGGTCCAGAGATCAAGCATTTGAGCGAGTAAAACCAAAGGTCCTGGGTTCGAATCCTGCGGGGTGCAGGAGCCATAAATGCGCATTGCCGCTGATAAGTCCCATATTAGGACGAAACGCACACTACATCAGCACTTCCAGGTTTCTTCTGATAGTCGTCGCCTAACATCAGTCTAATCATGATTTCATAAATCTTCAACAATAATATAAAAATCAAGAATAGTTATTCATTATATTTTATATTTTTTAGATCATATCATGTCTCTTATCAACCAGATGAAACTATCATTAAACCATGTCGATCTGGTACAGCACATTGTATGTTTGGCGATTGTACAAAAATTTGGTTACGAAAAAATAAACACATTGATATTATTATTGAATGTCAATGTTGGCCTAATTATTCTGGTGATTGGTGTAATATTTATCCACCGGATCATAAATCATTGAAACTTATCTTAAACACAGAGATAACTAACAAGAATAAAATTACACCTATAATCAATGCAAAACATGCACTGCGTACTACTAGTACTACAACAACAACACTTCAAGACGATGATATATGGCATGAACAAAATCTTCAATATGTCGGTAATTTAATCGCACAACATCGTGAATCAATGGAGGATAGGTTGAAAAAGAAATTCCTTGTATTTCATTCAAGTTTAACAGACAATCAAGAAAACCAGTCAGTCAATGTTCAATAAATTATATTTCCCTTATGTTTTGTTTTTATTATCAATTAGAGCTTTGAATTCGTCCTAATTTTAACCAATATAGTTTTATTTTATAGTTGGTGTTTTTAGAAAATCAATAAACAGATAGTTAAAAAAAATGTCAATTATTATTTTTCTGATTGTTTAACTGTATCAAATTCAATGTACAATTAGTTTTTACTGGACGATTGAATTTGATTGTAATCATGAACTGATGATCCATGTTGGATGGAATTCAAGGGTGTTAGGAATAAGTTATCGATGGTCGAGGTTGTGTAATAGTATCGTGGATTGATGATGTAATCACAGTGATCAGGAGTCATACAAATTATACACTTCATATACAATCTTAATTTGTTAGTAGATTTGTTCAATGTTGAAAAATCAACAATTAGTCATTTTATATGGCAATAAATATCTTCTGTTTACGTTAGTGTTGTTTACAAGCGCATGTATTTTGTTGGGGAGGTTAGATCATCAGAATTCGCTTGATAAATGCCTTATTTTGGTTTTCACGTTTGCCAGCATGGGCTGATCAGTTGATCTTGAGATTTCATTTCCCACAAAGAAAAACCATAGCTGTAATTGGCTGCTGTGTATTTTAGTGTGCTATTTTCTTAACTGTCCCAAGGACGTTTCTATGATGTATAAATAAACGAGAGTTGTGTGCTTGATGGTACTGTGATTGCTGGGTGTTTGTAGAATATACTTTCTACGCTTACAAAGCCTTTTTACTTGGGCTTCCGATTCAAGGTAGCCTACCTGGACGCTGGTAAAAGTCTCGTTCGCGTTTATCGACTAAGGTGAACTCGTAATAGCTTCAAGCATACTAGGTGACGAACTCTACATTTTTGAAATCTCATTGCTTCATAATCTTTCTATCGTCTCTTTTTTGTCATCTTTCAAATAAAAGATTGATGAATTTGACTAGAATTATAAGTAATCGCGCACGAGAATGAAGGCCGTTGATTTGATTCCCCAGTGTGGAGGTTATAGATGTGCACCGCGTACCTAATCCCATGCTAAGATGAAACAACTGCTTAGACCTCGAAAGAAGTTGCTTGAAAAGAAATCATCAGTGGGATAATTAAGGAGTTGAGTATTTGATGACTTTCAACATTGATTTGAACAATAAAATCAAGAGTTGAACATCTATACTTACACATTTAGGTTGTACACAATGTCCGTACTCTCAGCCTCATAGCCTTTTGATCTTTGGTCATAAAAACAGACCATCATCCGTAGACCAATGGTTCAAAGTTCATGCGCAAGACCAGAAGTCCTGGGTTCGAATCTTGCGACTGGTGGCAGTCACGGATAAGCATTGCTGGTGAGTCCCATACCAGGACGAAACAGCCATCCAGTACTTCCAGTTTTATAATGGTGGTCGATTCGCGATTTCGAAAAATATACAGATAATAAATATACACATGTTACTCTCTAAGAGGACACGTACTTATATATGTGGTTGGTTTTAAACCATAACGTTTATTGCACATTGAAATGATCAACCAAGCATTGTCAGACCACCATTAAAAACATGTGAGTATCGGGTGGCCGTTGCGTTCTAGTATGGATCTCATCAGCAGTGCGCACCCATGACTCCTTCACTCCACAGGATTCCAACCCAGGACCTTCGGTCTTGACCACCGGGCCGGCATGCAACCATGGTAATGTCTAAGTATGATCAATCTATAGATTTTGCGCGACCTCACGCATTTGTCTTTGGTAGTTACTACCCATACCCAACAGGGTTGAACTCCACTGGTCATGTCTTCTCACTAGAACTCTGAGAATTTCCTCATGACTCTAGTCACTAGTGAGCATATTTTACAACTTTTCAGTTGGAGTTATGCAGAGTAGTGATTTTTGCACATTGAAAATAACGTTTATTCAAAACTATGTACTACTAATCAATTTTTCAAACTCAATTCAATAATGAATATCCTTACCATTAAGTGATTGAAGTGAGATTATAAGAAATGTTAGATTTGAATTACATGTTAGTATGTATCATCAAATTGTAGGTAGGATCTGAATAAAACTACTATTCACAAAAAAACTTCCAATCATCATCAATCTAATTCTACATTTTGAGCAATCATCAGATAACTATGAAGATTTTTAATTAGACACAACTGGTTGAAATGAGCTATTGACAATAATCTATCATTGAGTATAGTAATGAATGCTACTTTATCTGCTCTTTAGTGTTGATGACTTCATGTTAACGATTTTGTTTTCCAATGTAACTAATGTACTAAATCATTTCATCAGACTGATCTTTATTGACCATTATTAGAAACCTAGAATTACTAAATGACTGTTTCATCCTAGTATACTACTCTTATGCAATGCACGTCGACAATTCTCGCTCGTGGGAATTGAACCTAGCATCCTCGGTATCACGCACGAACGATTAGCCGGTAGGCCAGTGAGCCGGAGCAGTCAGTCAGTCAGTCAGTTGCAACGTAGAACTTCGTACGTATGTACATAAGTTCATGTAGCCATAGCACATTAGCACACAGACGCAAATGTCAAATCAAATCACATAGTGATAGAGATAGTAGAAGTATTAATGGTGATGAAGAAGACTAAAGGGTTCGAAGATATTATTGAAGAAGTATAATTCAGTGAGATAAGCTTAGAAAGACAAAGGTAGAGGTGCTGACGAATACAGACGATTAGGATTTGAGAGAACGCAAAGAATGGATACACCTGCGCCATTGCAAAACGCTTTTGAACAATGTCATTTAAAGTCACTAACTATCAGTTACTATTGTCTCGCAAAGCCCTAATCAGGTAGTCTACATCCAACAACATGACTCAGTCCACTTGTCAGCGTCTTCATAGATTTGTGCTATGTTTTGGTTTGGCCGCCCCTAGCTTCCTTCCAACCTACTCCTACACTAAAAAAACATAGCTCGTCGAGGAAGTCGGTGGTTAGGCATTCGTAACACATGTCCAAACCACCTCAACTGATGACGTTTCACCGCTTCATCTATTGATCTGCCATCCTTACCTAGTACTCGTTTCCTAACGACAGCATCGCGTACTCGGTTGTCTCACGGTATACGAGCAATGCTTCTAAGACATCTATGATCGAACACTAGCAACCTACCAGCATCTTCTACTTTTAGAGGCCATGTTTCGCATCCATATAGGAGAACAGAGCAAACTGCTGCACAGTACACCCATCCTTTGGTTAGCGAACGGAAATCACGCCTACGCCATAAACGGCGTAAATTGGCAAAAGCAAATCGAGCCTTCTGTATCCGCACTGAGATTTCGTCAGTCACCAGGCTATCAGCACTGATGAGACTCTTCAGATAAGTGAAGTGATCAACACGCTCAACTACTTCACTCCCTATTACTAATGCAGGTGCCGAAGTGAGCCGTAGCACAACGGTGTTGATGTCTAACTTTATTCAATCTAAATGTTGCGCAACCTCACCTATTGTCGTCGGTAGTTAAATGCCTCATACCTGACAGAGTTGAACTCCACTGGTCACAGTTTCTCATTAGAACTTCAAGAATTCCCTTACGAAACTACTCACTAGTGAGTATCATCTTCACAACTAAATATTGAAAATCATACAGATCCGTTTCGTTCTACTCATAACCATCATCAACAGATAGAGATCAGTCATTATTAAAGGCCAAACAATATTCATGATTATATCACAATATCTAATTCATAGATCAATGATGAATGAGTTTAAACTTTTGACCTAATTTAACTAAAACAAAGAAAACAGCTACCTTTTGATGATTCAACTTTGTTCTTTATAAAAAAAAATGTGTATCACATTTGACAGGAATTATGTATATTCATGTTTAAGAATAATTCACATTACTACTTACATATAGTAGTGTTTTTCATATCAAACTGGTATCATTCAGGTTATTACATATTCTAACAATAACCTAGAACATTTTCTTTCAGGGTACACTTCTGATGAGTCCCACTTCAGGACGAAACAACTGCCTAGTGCTTCCAGGTTTCTGATGGTGGTCTAACATTGATCGATTCATCGTTTCAAATGATGATTCATTCAAGTATATTTTTTTTAAATCAGCTATCATTTAAACAAAAATCGAAATTGATCATTGACGAGTTAAATTGAACATTCATCACAATCTATTCGATTAAAAAACTGATAAATTTAATTAAAACTCCAGTGAGAGCGCTTTTAAGTCGAGTACATCGCGCTTGTTCGTCCAACCTTCAGATAATTTTGTCAATCCATCGTACCCGAGTTATTATTCATAAGTCTTTCGACCTTGCTAAATACTCGCCTTTATCGTGGTTGTTTTTATTGGAGTATGTGTATATGTGCCGCTTACTTCGCTTTTCGCATATCTGGCCTAATTTTGTCCGATTATAAATGTTTAGTCATCTGCCTCATGACATGGAGTTGGCCTTTTCCACTTCGCTTAGCTTAGCTTTCAAAATTATGTGTTCTTCTGTCTATCTGCAATGAACGATTGCTTGAAATAAACTCACACGACCAAATCCATATTCGGCTTATAATTACTGCTGTTCGCACATACAGGGTTCGTCCTGGTGTGGGACTCATGAGCAGAGCGCATCTACGACTCCTGCTACTGCAATATAAAATAACAATCTCTTTAATTCTCCTATGCAAAAATCATAAGATGTGCCCACTAGCGACTGGCTTCGTAACTTCTCGAAGTTCTAGTGAGAAGCCATGACCAGTGGGATTAGGTGTAGGCGATTATCCACCGAAGACAATGTGTGGGGTTGCGTGCAAAAATCCTTAGATTGATCAGAGTAATTTAGAGGTTAGGCGTTCACGTGCAAGACCGGAGGAAATACCTGGGTTTAGATACTCCGAGTTGCAGGAGTCCTGGATACTCACTGCTGGTGAGTACCATACCCTAGGACGTCTAACAATGTATCATTCATGATTTCAATGTAAACTTTTATACTAAAATGTTGATATATATGATTGCTTCACAGGGGTTGTGAAGATTGTTAAGTTACACATTTTTTGAAACCATGAATCGATCAATGTTAGACCACCATTCGAAGAAACCTGGAAGCACTGGACGGCCGTTTCGTCCTGGTATGGGACTCCTCAGCGTTCGCACCCAATACCGAAGGTCCTGGGTTCCAATCCTGCGGGGTGCAGGAATCGTGAATGCACACTGCTGAGGAGTCCCATACCAGGACGAAACGGCTGTCCAGTGCTTCCAGGTTTTTTCGAATGTTGGTTTAACATTGATCGATTCATGGTTTCAAAAAAAGATATATATGATTGGTAATTATTATCATTAAAAAAGTTGATCAAAGTAACCAAACATTTAACCTTGATAATAATAGTAATAATAATCATAATAATAGTTTGAAATTAAACTTTAAGAAATCATACATGACAAATTATCAAATCTTGTATGAATTACA